AGAACATTTTATAGACTCAACAAAACACACCCCTATGAAAAAAGAAAAAAAGACTATTATTGACTTTTGTCACAATTTTTGAGAAACTTAAGAAACCTGGGGAGTGCCATCCAAATATGTGGTTATAGCTTTTTCTTTGTACTTCTTAGAAATGGCGGAACAAGGAGCTTAAGACATTCTTTGAAGATTCCCATTGCAAATATTTGGGTGAGGATTGCCCCAATACTCGATTATCATGGTATGACGAGGAAGCAATCCCACATCCTCCTTTCATGACAAAGAACTTTTACTTTAGCAAGCTAAATTTCTTACCTTTCTTAATCCAATTGACTTGAAAGAAATTGGAGAGTCCATAGAGCATAGAGAGTCGACAAAAGAAAGCTTGAAATTAAATGCATCTAATGTACGTCGGCCCTTCCTTTGTCAATGCTACCAAGTTCTTACAAAATGATATACCTTTGTGTACCATTTAAAATGTATCTCCTTAATCGAGGACTGCTAAACCCACTTAATAAATATTATACCATATAACCCCATAAATCACTCAACAAAACATTCCACTAAAATCAAGATATGTTAATTAAACAATTTAAGATTTTTAATAAAAATAAATGATTTTCAAAAGGGGTGGATAGAAATTGAAATACCACTAGCCAATTTTAGAAAACAAGCACTACCCAAAATTCAGGTCCTTTATGTTAATTCAAAAAATATACTCTTCATACAGTCAGCAATGTTCACCATGATTCATAATTTTCCTTAAAAAAAAAGAGAACTCATTGTGACTTTTTCAAGTATTATTGCAAATGCAACGCCTTGGAAATGAACAATTGCCAAACACATCACAAAGCTGGGTGAAATTTAAGCTTTGTGGAAGAAGCTCATATCTCCAATGTTAGCCTATCCACCATCCGAGTTAACCAAAACTTTTATCTAGTATAAATGGTCTCCTTACCATCCCAAGTGCAAAAACTCTCCAACTTTCCAGCCCAAAAATAAGTGTCACATAAGATCCCACTTTCCAGACTCATCAACTGGTATAAACATAATGAAAACCCCATTCTCCAAGACAAACATAAAAACAGAAACATGCCTATGTATTCTTGTAAGCATGCATTGAAATTTTCCAATAATCTATCAGCATATATCATATATGCGTCCATTCACTTGGGATTCTGAAACCTAAGCCCAGCAAACTTGAAACGTCTCATGCAACAATCTATCTACAGCCATGGAGGCGAAGGTATGTTTCTGCCAAAACTTACTAACATTTGTCTTTCGGAGTCGAGATTATGGTATAGGCACTACGTATCAGAAAGAAGATGAACAACAATTCAAGAGAAATCTTCGTCAATTTAAAAAATAAAAACAATATTGGAAGATCAAACCTTGACAAAACTAGAATATTAAAATGAAAAAAAGTAGACGAGAAACTGACTGCCATGATTATAACGACAGCATGGCCCCTAAAACTAACATGGCCTCAGAAAAATAACGAAGGATTAACAGAGAGCTTCGGAATACCTGTAAACGTAGCCTCCCAAGATTCCGTCGGCGACGATTAGGGCAACGAGAGCCGGGACGAGAAAAAATTAATCGGCGGTCTCAAATGAGGGTACGTAGATGTATTTATAGAGCCCTCGAGATATTTGTACCGTACTCCTGGCGGGTTGTGAAACGGCCGGTTTTTCCCGCGTTTTGTTTCCGACGTTCCTTCGCCAACATTTAATTTAATATTTTTCTTTGTTGCAAAATTTATATATATATATATATATATATATAAGAAAACCACATCCACGCCAGTCAAGTCTTTTATTTCATTGAACACGAAAGACTCGATCGACCCGCCCCTAAAACGTAAACTCATTCACCACTCCAACTCAGTTTCACAATTCTATTGTCTTGGTTAGTTTCGAGTCTTTTAGGGAATTCTCTTGTACTTCCGTACGATTTCACACTATGTTGCGGGTAGAGGAGAGAGCGGCCTATTTTCGTTATCTTCTCCGCCCAGGATGATAAAGTGGTGCCTCCAAGAATATGTAAGCGAGCTCTAAGATCACATCATTGGAATAAAATCCCGTATATAATTTTAAAAAATTATGTTTCAAAACCAAAATTATTAAACATTCGATGAAAACATCAATGATGACCTAAAAGAACGTGGTAATGACTAAAATGTTTGTTTAGATTAAGTTTGATTAAACAACATTCAAACACATTCATTTTTTCGTTCAACGTTCTAATAGTTTTCTTTCGTAATTTAGAATTTAGTCCAATAATAAGTTTAGGAGTTTAAATCCTATTAAAATGGTTTTTAGTTCCGTTTTTATCATATTTGTTTTATTTCAAAGCAAAAAATCAAGACCACCGAAATATTTTTTATTTGGCGATATATGATTACAACAACCATTGTTACGATACCATATAGACTTTACAACATCGAGTTGAGCACTATATATATAAGAAATAGAATGCCTTCAGTTCTATCTAACAGCCTGCTAGAGACGAGTTCACGAGCGGAAGGAGTTTCGCTCGATTGATTATTGGAAACAAACATACATATATTGGAAATAAAGGCTCCTGTTCATCAGACCCTGCAAAATAATCCAAAGGAAGAAAGGTTCTTAGGCTACTAAAGGAGAAGCGGGCGTCCCTACCCCGCCCCGTGGACATTAGTAGAGTAAAATTTAGAGCTTACTCGGTAAATTCGATGTTGATTTTTCCAGCGTCGGGATTGGCGATGGAGGAGAAAGCTTCCCGGGAGAGGTCAATGGTGGCTTGGCAGCCAGGAGATGGGCAGAGGTCAACGACCTTGACAGTGACAGTGTTGCCTGTGCATGGCTGTGGAACGCCCAAGTTTGTTGGGCCAGTGCATGTCACTCTGTACATTCTCCCACAGGCTGCGCCATTGTTGTATATGCCTTCGCTGGCTGCTGCTATCATTGTCCCCTGCTCCTCGAACCCGTAGCATGCAGACGCTACACATATGAACCAAACAAAGCATGACAATACAAAACTATTGGGATTAACGTAGAGAAAGGATATGTTTAGATACTCACGGACGTAAGGGGGCGTATAGAATGTTGCTGTGCCTGTGTCTGCATGAGCATAAGCGAGTATCAACACCAAACTCACAGCCAACCCCACGACCTTCATTGCTGCTGCTTCCATTTGATATCTCACTTCTAAACCTTATACTCTATTTGCTTATGAATCAAAACTCATAATCTCCTCCCAATTTATACAAGTCTTTGCAGTTCTAACACGGTGTGTTATGTGGAAATTTATGGTCTCGTTTCAATTAATACGCAATTAAAGGAATATTAATTCTTAATTATAGGAAAAGTCAACAAATTTTGATTTAATTTGAGTTAGATTGATTATCACGTAGTTGAAGTTGACTTGGTTTGGATTTGGTCCACGAAGTCTCTCTCTACTGTGGCCTTTTGTTAATTAATTTCTTTAATGTTTCCTTCTAATAAGGTGTGGAATTTTTTAGAACAGATAATACAATAAGCTATCTGGATGGCTACGTATGCAAAACAATTGCCCTTATTGGCTCTTGAGAAATTAGTATTCAATCTTTTCCATTATTTTTAGTCAAATTGGATGCAAGTGATTAGAAATTATTTATCAACACAACAACTGAACCGTTGAGAACGCTTTATGTGAGATCCCACATCAATTGGAGAGAGGATTGAGTGCCAGCAAGGACGCTGGACTTCGAAGGAGGTGGATTGTGAGTTCCCATGACGATTGAACAGGGGAATGAAGCATTCCTTATAAGGGTATGGAAACCTCTACCTAGCAGCCATGTTTACCTTGAGGAAAATCTCGAAAGGGAAAGCCTAGAGAGAACCATATCTGTTAGCGGTAGGCTTGAATTGTTACAAATAGTATTAGAGCCAGACTGTGAGAGGTGTGTCAGTGAGGACGCTATGCTCCAAAGGGGATGGACACCGAGCGGTGTGCCAGTGAGGACGCTAAGCCCCAAAGGGGGTAGACACTGGGCGATGTGTCAGCAAGGATGTTAAGCCCCAAAGGGAGGTGGACACCAGGTGGTGTGTCAGTGAGGACGTTGAGTCTCGAAGCAGGGTGGACACCGGATGGTATGTCAGCAAGAACCCTAAGCCCCGAAGGGAGGTGGACACCAGGCGGTGTGTCAATAAGGATGCTAAGCCCCGAAAAGAGGTAAATACAAGGCGGTGTGCCAGCAAGTACGTTGATCCCTGAAGGGGGGTGGACACCCGGCGGTGTGCCAGCGAGAACGCTAAGCCCCGAAAGGGTTAGACACCGAATGGTGTGTCAATGAAGACGTTGAGTCCCAAAGAGGTGGTGAGATCCCACCGCCTCAAACGGCTTTCGACTTCATGTCTTAGAAGTATTTGAACCACATTGAACACAAAATTTACTCTTAAAAAAAGAAATTTGAATAAGTTAAAAATTTATTGAATTAACCAAGGACCGAAAGGCTATTAACCATAAAGTGGAAAGTTTATAGACCATTTTGAATGGGTAAGAATTTAAAGTGAAGATGCCAAGCTTTGAAACCCATAAGAGCTGTCTAGTTAGAGACGTTTGAATGAGGCCAGGCTTGCTCATAACGCTATCCGCCAAGTCGGTATTAAATGAGCATTGCCAGCCTATACGCCTCACAATTTGGATATTCAATTTCATTTTAGTTGGTACCCCATATTTCTTCACCCACATTTACCCAATCTGTCTCAAACCATAAATGCACTGTCCAATTCCTCCTTTTTCCTGTTTTAGTTTCATAAATTTACTCCTTCAATGGGACCCCATCTCCAAAAATATGTATAAGAAATAAGAAGAAGGATATGAACAGCTACCCCCACCTTAAGCTTTGATTCTAAGTTTGTTGCCATTATGGAAAAATCAATTCCTAACCATAATCCAACAGGTGATTAATTGGGACTTCTTTGTCTTGTGGTGAAGAAATTCATTGCTTCTAATCTTCTTAAGTGGGCCTATGCTGTTTGGTTGGATTCGTATTGATTAGGCAGTCAAAATCACTCACTCACTAACAGTCAACAAAGCTTGCACAAAATTATGGCCTTATAACCAAAGATATTTCTTTCTCACTATGGACAACAATTCTGTTTTGAGTTCTCTGTGAAGACAGTGGTGGATTTTGTTTTTGTTTCCAGGAATTCACAGGTATGGGAAGTACAGAAATCAAATCACCTCAGGAGATGGTTGAAATGCCTGCAAGATTGGACGAGCAGAGGAAGAAGCTTGGGATGTTTTTCGTTGAATCCGACGATCGGAGGACGGCGTTCGGGCGTGGTTACACTGGAGGAACGACTCCGGTTAATATCCGTGGGAAACCGATTGCTGATCTTTCAAAGACTGGCGGCTGGATAGCAGCCTTCTTCATTTTTGGTAAGCAGCTGCAAAACATCCTTGTTGTTGTTGTGCTTGTTGTGCTTGTTGTGCTTGTTGTTAGTACTTGGAGTTGAAACTTGTGTTGATTTTGTTTACAAGGGAATGAAATGGCAGAGAGAATGGCTTACTTTGGGCTGTCAGTGAACATGGTAGCCTTTATGTTCTATGTGATGCATATGCCATTTACAACTTCATCAGACGCAGTTAACAATTTCCTTGGGATCTCACAAGCATCCTCTGTTCTTGGCGGTTTCATCGCCGATGCATATCTCGGTCGTTATTGGACGATTGCGATCTTTACTACAATCTATCTCGGGGTACGATTTGATCTTACTATAAGCTCCTCCTATGAATTCAAAGCTGATGATGATATTGAAGAAATGGTTGATTTGAACTAAATGCAGGGCTTAATAGGAATAACTCTATGTGCCACAATTAGTGCATTTGTACCAAACCAGGAGATATGTAATGAGTTATCACTGCTTCTTGGCAAATGTGAGCCAGCCAAGGCATGGCAAATGACTTACCTTTACACAGTCCTTTACTTGACAGGCTTTGGGGCTGCAGGTATTAGGCCATGTGTGTCTTCTTTTGGGGCTGATCAGTTTGATGAGAAAAGCAAAGACTACAAGTCTCATTTGGATCGCTTTTTCAACTTCTTCTACCTTTCTGTCACCACTGGAGCCATTGTGGCCTTCACTGCTGTTGTTTACATTCAAATCAAGCATGGATGGGGAGCTGCTTTTGGCTCCCTAGCCATCGCCATGGGCTTCTCAAACGTCGTCTTCTTTCTCGGTACTCCTTTGTATCGACATCGGTTGCCAGGAGGTAGCCCTCTCACAAGGGTTGCTCAAGTCCTTGTGGCTGCATTCAAGAAGAGAAACGCCTCGTTTTCTAGCAGCGAGATGGTTGGCTTGTACGAGGTCGCTGGCAAGCATTCCGCTATCAAAGGCAGCGGAAAGATCCTTCACACAAATGATTTCAGGTTTGTCGAATTAGAGTAAGAGAGCGTATTAGTATTTTAGGCACGTTAAGTTTTTGAGTTTAGCGGTGATTTACGCAGGTGTTTAGACAAGGCAGCACTCGAGTTAAAGGATGATGGAGGTAATCCAAGCCCATGGAGGCTTTGCACAGTGACTCAAGTGGAGGAAGTGAAGATTCTTTTGAAGCTGATTCCAATACCAGCCTGCACAATCATTCTCAATTTAGTGCTAACAGAATATCTCACTCTTTCAGTGCAACAAGCATACACCTTGAACACTCACATAGGCCGTCTTAAGCTCCCTGTCACATGCATGCCAGTCTTCCCTGGCCTCAGCATATTCCTCATACTTTCTCTCTACTACTCGGTATTCGTTCCGCTCTCTCGGCGCATCACCGGCCACCCGCATGGCGCTTCTCAACTCCAGAGGGTCGGCATCGGTCTAGCAATCTCGATAATCTCGGTCGCTTGGGCCGGGGTGTTCGAGAGATACCGAAGGAACTACGCAATAAAAAATGGATATGAGGCCAGTTTTTTGACCCCTATGCCCAACTTGAGTGCCTACTGGCTGCTCATTCAGTATTGTCTCATTGGCATAGCAGAAGTGTTTTGCATTGTTGGTTTGCTTGAGTTCTTATATGAGGAAGCCCCGGACGCCATGAAGAGCATTGGATCGTCCTACGCCGCTCTCGCGGGCGGGTTGGGTTGCTTCGCGGCGTCGTTGTTAAACAGTATTATCAAATCCGTCACGGGGAACACAAAGGAAGGAACTCCATCATGGCTTTCTCAAAATATCAACAAGGGACAATTCGATTACTTCTATTGGCTTCTCACAGTCATGAGTATCATCAACTTCTGCATTTTTCTGTACTCAGCTCATAGGTACAAATACAGGAAAGATCATGAGGTTGGAGAAGGAATCATGGAAAATGGAAGGCATGGTACGATGTAAGATCCAACCCCGACTTAGTTGGTTAGTTTTAGAGTTGATTTTTAATTGTGTCATTCCATACAAGAAAAATTCGAGTTTTTAAGTTATCAATCTCTCATTTCTCGATTGATTTTTTATCCCGTTATTTCAATCTACACGATCAACTAAATATAAAAATATCACTTTATCCGTATATGAATAAATAGTGACACCTAATTGTCACATTCATCTTAAACACATGAAATTCTAATCTTTAAAACAAAGAGATTATAAATTGAATGCTGTGATTCTTTTATCATTCTATTTACCAACCAAAGGCAGTTGGCAATTATGATGCAACTAAATGCTCATCAGTTGACTACACGTTACCTTTATTTATTTATTATTTTTTTCAAGTTGCTGTAGAGAACTTGAATGGTAGTTGGGTTTCTTTCAACTTTAATGCCTATTTTCTTTTGTTTTAAACAGCTCATAGCTTGGAGATTTAGAATGCGACATTCAAGATACTTATTACATAGGAGAAAGTGATCTTTTGGGTTGGGATTGCCACAAACTTTCGGAGGGGAAGGTCAATAATTCCTATCTTCCCTATTCTGTATCGTTTTGAGGTAGTTCCGTAAACAAAATCATCAAAGAGTATGTCCAAAATAAACGATATCCTATCATCATAGAATTTTGAGGTAGTTTCATATACAAAAGCATCAAAGAGTATGTCCAAAATAAACGATATCCTATCATCATGGAGTTTTGAGGTAGTTCCGTAAACAAAATCATCAAAGAGTATATCCAAAATAAACAATACCCTATCATCATGGAACTTTAAGGTAGTTCCGTAAACAAAATCATCAAAGAGTATATCTAAAATAAACAATATTCTACTATCATGGAAATATTATAGCCATACCATAGCCATACCTTTAAATTAGTTGTATAAGTAAATTTCATATTGATTAAAGGAGTAGTAATTCTTGAAGACATTGCCATGTAATACTGTGGGTCAGTCTTCATATGTAGAACAAGTGTGGTTCAAAGAGAGGATTGCTAAGGGTGCGAAAAGGAGTGGTCGGTACTGTATAATCCACAATCTGATCCACGGTGGAGCCCTATGTCAAATAGATGGTATACTCCAAAGAAAATGAGGAAACTCAGTAAAGTTATAGAGCTAAACAATTGGAATCAATATAATTATATTTTTGAAGAGAGGCTTGATTGTATTTTGTTCGAGGGAAGAATTGTTGAAATTGCGACCCAAGTTTCAACAACACCAACTCAACCAAGTAAATTGAAACTTTGTCATCAAAATATGTGAAAACTACACAAGTTTTACCACTACGAAGGCATATACTGTACATTGAAATTGGATGAACCAGCCCCGTTAACCTCATTTGAACATCTCTTGCATACTGTTGGAGGACGAGTTACTCAGAATCATTACGTGTGGCGTTATTTCAAAATAAAAGTAATAAAACAAAGACAAAGAGTGCCTTCCCTTCTTTAACAACAGCTACAGTCACACAAATTGCAAGATTATGGTCACTATTCCTTGAAAAATGTAGGCTCATCTCATCCTAGAACTAACCATAAAGGAAATCTCGCCTTCCGGCTTCCAGAAAGGAAAAAAGGAATTGAATAATGTGTGCTGGGCGAAAAGATTCTGAATGGAAATAAACAAGTAGACAAAAGGCATCGTGTGTGTTATACTTGAAACAAAATTCAGTGTGTCCCATGGTGATAAAGATCAGTTAATGACTGGAAGTACAGGTGATAAATTGACAGGCTCTAGTAGCGCTTCATGTCAAAATTTCTCGACATAATACACATGGCCAGATTCTATTCTCTAGTACATTGTTATCTTATAGCATGCTCAATCAAAATCGAAACTTGTGTTGCTGTGCCGACAAATGTAACAGATACCATTGATTCGTGGAGGAGGTTAGACAATTGGGAATATTCTTAAATCACTACCCTCCTATAGACAGAAAGAAAGAAAAACAAAGCGTTAAGGACTACTTATTAAAGCAATACTAAATACCAGAAGCAGCAAAGACCGGAGGAACAAACCTTAATTGCACCGCTTGTTTGAAAATTTGCACCGCATAATCTACAGAATACAGTCTTCTGTCTAAATATACTTCAATCCTGACACATACTGTTGTCTGGAGATTACATATTGGGCCAAGGAATAAATAATTCCTAAAATCCCCAATATTCTAACCTTAAGCACATCTGTCATGATGGCAGATGGTAGATTAAGGGGCACTGTTAGCAGTGGCGTTGAATCCGTATGCTTTGTGAAGCTCCATACAAATCTGTTAAAAAGGATCTGACTCGGGAATGTAAGAACAAGGAGAGCTAAGTTTTTAACCGCAAATATCCAATCTGGCCCACCGATATCCAGACCCCATCCAGCATTTCCATGCCAAACATCTTCTCCTATGTTGTACATCGCAGTGAGGACCAAGTATGCTGATATCACTGCTGTAACGGGGAAATACCTTTGCTTGTCCCCAAATCCGGCAACGAAATCTGAGTCCTGGTTCAAAAGCAGCAAGATCGGAGCCAGAAAAAATATAGCATAGTTTGAACCACCTGTGAGATTGACATTCAAAATTAAGCATATAGCAAAACACATCACTGTAGCAACATTTCCAACCGCTGGCATCCATGCTCCTTCTGCTGTCATTCGCTTGATGGTGAATGTCGACAATGAAGAAGCCCGTCGTTGTTGCATAAATCTAGTTCTCGTGTTAAGACTACCAATGCCACTTTCACCGGATTTTGTGTGTCTAATTCCGCCCCTTTCAGAAGTTTTCTCTCGCACGAGAGATGCAAGTTCAAACTTTATTTCCAGTGCAATTAGCATAAAGATTGCTGCATAAAGGCCAAGCAGCGACGTCCTTGCTCCTTCAACAGCTAATAGTGTTGAGATCATCTGCTCTTCCTCTCCCATATCTCTAACACTGTCATCTCCTAAGATGCTTTTTAACCTTACTTGCCCTTCCAAAAGGTATGTCACAGGGAACAGAGCAACAAGCAACGCAAACACCCAAGGTAAGAGCCTTGTACTTGAAGCAGATGGAAAATGAGCAAAGATCACAAACACCGAAGCACAAACCATGGTGACAACTATAAGGATGTGCAGGGCAGCTGCCTGAAGGAAGTACTCGGCAGATATGTAAATGCCAAGTGCAATACCCATAGCTATAGAGTATAATACTCTAAACTCAGTAATATATTTAATTGGCAATACGGATGTAATAGCTGCAAGAGTGAGCAGAATTGCTAAAATAAGCAGCCAAGATGGCCAGGTAGGTTTTGAGGCAACAAAGCCGTAGATGGAAATATCATCAGAAGACTGACGAGCTGCTCTAATAAGATCAGAACGGTATGTCCAAGACAAGGGAATTGGTGGCTGCATCATGATAAATAGCAAACCAGTTGCCACAACTAGCACTAAGCATCTCTTCGCTGACTGCAAAAAGGAAATAGAGAAGGGTAATTAATTCGCACAAGCGTATTGACTCTTGAAGATAAATAAATGGGAAAAACAGATCAAGCAAAAAATAATTGATAAGGTTTTTTTTCCTAATAAAAAGAAACTGTCTACTCCAATATGCATCTTCAGAGAGTTTTGAAGAAACGCAGCAAATGGTTTACGCAAATAGCAAAGTGCCACAAAAATTATTGTTGTTGAATTAACTAGTGAAACTTTGAAGAACGTTGTTGTTAACCTCATACCCAGTAATGACAGACTTCCAAGAGCAAGTTCAGTAGATAATTATTTAATTGATCAACGTTCTTCATAACGGAAAAGTAATACACATCTGAACAGATGGTGCATCAAACTGAGTCATTGTATAGACATTTGAATAATAAAGTTCACGTTGAGAACTTACAAAGAAGACAGAGAAGACAGTATTGAATAAATAAGAAATAAATACCAGGACATGAGGAAAGTGGAGAGCGACTATAGGTATGCAAGCCAACCCTGCCACAAAAATACAGCACCCTAAAAGCAAACCATCTGATGGGGGCCTCCCGTTGAACCATTGAAGAGCTTCAAATATCGTTTCACGGAAAAACCACACTGATAGAGCAACCACGCCAGCATGTGCATAACCTTGCCAAGCCTTCATTTTGGAGGCTGTTCTTGATTTATCCCTGTAAGATCCCAAGTGAAAGTTGAAGTCTCAATAGTATCAAGGTTAACGGAAACTAGAACAAAGCTAATAAGAATAAGTTTGTTATAATTACTTGTAAAGGAGCAATGGGGGTGAAACTGCTAGTAGGAGAATAGCAGACACCCATACAACAGACTTGGAAGTAATAAACAGCATTGCCAGCTTTGAAGCATACAGGCAACTGAGAACCCAAACAGTTTTTGGTCCAATTCTGTTATCAACAGAGAGTCTACGTACCAGGACCAAGCCTACAAATGTTGTCACAATAACCATATAGCTTGGGAAAATCACATCATCCTCAAGGCCATAATAATATATGCTGGAGTAACTTAGAAAACGATTCTCAATGTTACATAGTAATAAAGCATGGCCAATCAAACAGGCTTCGGTCAAAAACTGAACTTTCGACGGTAATATGGCTAGACCAGGAACAGCCAAGGCAAGCACCGCATCAGCCACAATGAGTTTGCAGAAAGACTTGAGGGACATTCCAGCCAGCCAAATATTTAGATCCCAGTAATTATGCATCACAAACCACATGAACATTAAGCTCCCAAGGAAGACAAAAGCAAAGTAAGATGACAAACTCTTCCTTGTAAAGAACCGAGCCAGATAAAAACCAGCCACAGATGGCAGTGGAAGGAACTGCAAGATAATAAACAACAAAGAAGCAATGTGTGTCAAATAATCACAATCTGCAGAAAGGACGATATTATTGCCCCATGTTCACATGTCCTAATTCCTACAAAAAGAAGAAAAGAAAAAAAAAACTTGAATGCAAGTTAATATGAACCTCTTTCCCTGAGCATATAGACAACAGAATAGAAGTTTTGCACATTGCCAAAAAAAAAAAAAAAGATTCCAAAGCCCCTGCCATAGAATAAGGAGCAAAGCATAAATTTGGCATTCAAATATCAAGTGCAAGGATAAACAATGGAGAAAACTC